ACAACAACTACAAAAGACAGAGTAAACACAGAGTAAATATAGCTCAATGTCAATGATACCAATGAGGGTCTCCCAGGATACCGTCCTGTAGCCCTTTTCTCAACTATCCAGTGGATCTCCCGGGATACCGTCCCGTAGTCCAACTCATCTACCAAACCGAAGGATCTCCCGGGATACCGACCCGTAGTCCAACCATCAATGTGCAGGGGGATCTATCGGGAATCTAACCCGCAGTCCCAAAGTAAAAGTGTAGGGGGGATCTACCGGGAATTGAACCCGTAGTCCCAAAAGTAAACAAACAAGGGGGAGCTACCGGAATCCCACATCCGTAGTCCCAATGTAAATGCGCAACCACAACCAGAAGATATTCAGAAATGAAGTACAAAAATACAAGCAACGGGTAGTACTAGCCTAACATGCTTCACGTAGTACAGTCAAGGCAACTTAAGCAAATAGGCAATTTAAATCAACTAAACATTCTTTTCTAATCTAACACAGGTTATAATTGCAAGTAGAATAAAGCAAACACGAAAGAAACTTGGTCTCAATATCTTAAGTAAAATCGGGTTTTCAACAATTAGCTCAAGTACGCGCTCGTCACCTCACGTACAAGGCATTCAATTACCAAATATCATATCCTAAGGGGGAAGGTCCCCCACACAAGGTTAAACAAGCTATTTACCTCAAACCGGCTCCAAAATCAACTCGAAACCACACCTTTGCCACGAGTATCCGACTCCAAATGGCCCAAATCTATTCAATTCAATTACCTATCGTAAATAACATCTCAAGCAACTGATTCTACTATTAAATTTAAAGCTAAGACGCGAATTTAGGTAAAATGACCCAAACGCCCCTCAGGCCAACGTCTCGGAACCGGATAAATTTCACATTTTCAGAACCCTCGCACTCTCACTAGTCTAACCATACAAAAATCTCCCAGATCGGAGGTCAAACACCCACTCAAAACTCAATAATTCGGTCTAAGAAGTTTCTTCCAATTTTTCCCAAATTTTGATCCCCAATCCGAATTTAAATGATGAAATTAACTATAGATTGATGGAATATAACTATAAAGGATTAAAGAAACGTTACCCAATGATCTCCTCTTCAAATCCCTCTCAAAATCACCCTCTCCCGAGCTCCAATTTGATTTTTTTTTAAACTTTTGAAACTAAACCCTTGAATTTCATATTTCAGTCCAGTGATTTCCGCTTCTGCGGTCAAGGGACCGCACCTGCGGTCCTGCTTCTGCGGAACTTAAGCCGCTTTTGCGGTTTCATTAAAAATNCGGGATACCGTCCCGTAGTCCAACTCATGTACCAAACCGAAGGATCTCCCGGGATACCGACCCGTAGTCCAACCATCAATGTGCAGGGGGATCTATCGGGAATCTAACCCGCAATCCCAAAGTAAAAGTGCAGGGGGGATCTACCGGGAATCGAACCCGTAGTCCCAAAGTAAACAGACAAGGGGGGGGGGGAGGGGAGCTACCGGAATCCTGTATCCGTAGTCCCAATGTAAATGCACAACCATAGCCAGAAATATACCAAGGAATGAAGTACAAAATACAAACACAAATAGAACTAGCCTAGCATGCAAGTTATAATTTCAAGTAGAATAAGGCAAGTAAGAAAGAAACTAAATCTCAATAACTTAAGTAAAAACCGGGATTTCATCAATCGGCTCAAGTACGCGCTCGTCACCTCACGTACAAGGCACTCAAAATTCAAATAACAAATCCTAAGGGGAAAAGGTCCCCCACACGAGGTTAGACAAGCCACTTACCTCGAATCGGCACCAAAATCAACTCGAAATCACACTTTTGCCACGAGTATCCGACTCCAAATGGCCCAAATCTATTCAATTCAATCACATATCGTAAGTAATATTGCAAACAACTGATTCCACTATTAAATTTAAAGCTAAGGCGCGAAAATAGGTAAAATGACCAAAACGCCCCTCAAGCCAACATCTCGGAATCGAATAATTTTCACATTTTTAGAACCCTCGTACTCTCACGAGTCTAACCATATAAAAATCTGCCAAATTGGAGGTCAAATGCCCACTCAAAACTCAATAGTCTAGCCGATGAAGTTTTACCCAGATTATCCAATTTTTTTGTCCAAAATTCGAATTCCCATGATGTATTTAACTATATAATGATAAAGTATAACAAAAAGGGATCAAAGAAACGTTACCCAATAAAAGGAGAGTGAAATGCACACACTCTGCCACGTCAGCGTTAAGGGTGCAAATAATTCCATTTAAAATAAGTTTAAGGGGGTAATAGGATTCCCGCACAGAAAAAGTGTGTAGTTGGAAATCCGGGTATAGGTCAGGGGGTACTTATGCATTTTCCCTTGATAATATAAAAGAATTCTAACAAAAAAAAAAAGAAGAGATAATATAAAAGAATCTATCTTTAATTGAGCTTCTAGAAATTAAACGTTTAATCTTTTTTGTTTTGTTTTATACTAAATACTCTCTCTGTTTCAATTTGGATGATGTAGTTTGACATGACACAAACTTTAAGAAAAAAAGTTATAACTTGTGAAATATGTGGTCCTGAAAACTTAAGGGGCAAAAGCTTTGTGGGACAATGATTTTTTTGGTGGCTATAAAAGCTTCTCATTAAAGGTAAAAAATAAAAAATTTAAAGTTAAGTTATTTTCAAATATAAAAATATATTATTCTTTTTGGAAAAGGACTAATGAGAAAAGTTTATAGTATATAACAGCATAAAGACATACGTATGCTATCAAGTTACTTAAAAGCAACTAATGGTGTAAGAAATTGGTTATAGTAAGATTGGGTTAATCTTCTAGAAATTGATGGAATGAATGACTTAATTCTAATTGCAAATTGCACCCATAGTGCGAATTTTTTAAAACTACGTAAATATCCTAAGTTCATTTATTTTTTTTTAAAATTATTGATGAGAGGAGACGCCAGCATCTCGGAGTTTGTGTTCATGTCCAGGAATGGCCATAGAACCAAATGCCGTTCCGCTCAAGTCAAAGTGTGCAGATTGGGAGACGCAGGGACCTCCTGGACAAAAGTCTGTTATCACCACCCTTACTCCTTTCCCCGAGCACGATGGATGCACCTTCTTTGTACATTTCACCTGTAATACCAAAATATGAATATATCATTGACAAATCTTCGATATGTATTTGTTAATCAAGAACTTGAATAAAGCGGGGTGAATTAATTAACCTGGTAGCAACCTCTCTTTTCCAGATTTATAGAGGGATGGACCAATCCCAGTTACCAAGGAAAAGAATGGGGCTTGTGATACTGCATTTCCATATCCACAAGATCCTCCTGCACTCATAAACATATGCGGTTAAGTTATAGCACACGAGTTTAACTTTCATATGCGAATAGTCTATACAAATTCTTACACTATTGTTTACCCTCGAATCCGGATAACAATTGAATTTATATGGGGTTTCAAGGATCCGTGAACTAAAAGATACAAAAAGGTTTTAGGTTAAGGAAAATAAAGATAAAGACTCAACAATTGCTGTTAAAGTAAATAATTGCAGAACATAATATTGCTTAGAACAATTGTGCTTGATGATCCACAAGAATTTAGAGAGATCCCCATTTATACATTCTGACTAAGGGTAAAAATAAGGTAGGTAAATTGATTACATCGTGGATCCCTGTAATTACGCCTTAATGGCCTGAAGTGGTTGAGAAAATCACGTTTGGGCGAGATATCCGGCGACGCTTGGTTATCCGTTACGAGCCCGGCTTCCGACCTTGTGTGTTTCTCCATCCGGTGGTGATTCCTCTCGAGCTCTATAACGGTCTCGAAATGACTCGACCTCGGTTGTAGACGTGGCCATCGTTCTACCTTGCATCCAGGTCGGGTTCGATGGCCCCGACTTGCTCCGGACCGGATCCAACCCGGTCGGGCTCAAGCAAAAGGGTATCACCCAATACAGTAGCCAAGAGAGGTTTTAACTTTTTAAAGCTGCAGTGATGAAGTTTTCTCAATTGTACTTGTTCTAATCGCATGCCTCGATGTCTGTTTCGCTTCTCATATATATATATATATATAGAAATTCTATGACACGATCCGTTTATCTAGCTAATTACTACAATTAGGCTTGGGGTCGTGGGACAGCGGCTCTAATAATGCCACGAAGTTATCTTCGTGATCACGGGAAACTAATCGAAAAAATTAAGAAAGAAAGAAGAAAGCAACATATACCCTTTTTTAGGAGTGTGTCTACAAAAGAAAAAGAAGTCATAATTAAATTTGTAAGGTTTCAAGGGACCATGTTAATTGTTGGGGTTAATATTGGTAAGAACGGGAATAATAACTTTGATTACAATACTTTTAGACAAGAAATAGTCTTAGTCTATTTGTTAACTTGAGTCTTAAATAGAAAAGGTTCTAAGTTCAATTCTACTTAATCACAATTTTTAACACATAGGCTCTCTCAAATATTTGCAAAAAAATGTGCTAGTTGAGGTTTAAACCTTTGACCTCTTGGAGCAAAATCATACATACAACCAATGCACCAAGAGACAATTTATGTTAAGAGATGTTATTTTTTTCCTATTTATCCGTTTCCTCACAGTATTAATACATATATTTAGTAAAAAAAAATTGACGAAGTGGTATTGCGTGACACCATTTCGTTAAGCGTGCATTCACCGTTCAAGCATAACACTTCTGTTCAAAATGCACACAGGAGGAGAAAAAGAAATGCACTGTATCAGTTGCATCATATTTCAAGGGAAAGAATATTCAGTTATGCTGTACAATTATGAGAAAATGACTGTAGTAAATTACAGAGATACAAGAGGAGATTCCACCTGTGAATTGGCCAAAGTAGCAAGTATTTATAGTATGTCCATTTGAGAATCAGTGTAATCAATCATCATAAGAAGCATGAGGTGCAGCAGTGCAGCCAGTGTCAAATGGATCTTCAGACCCACAACAATGCCAGTATTGAAAAACTTTACCACCGTCCGGGGTGTCCATGGTGCCACCAGCATAAACACTCTCAAATTTCCTCCTTGTTTCTCCTGCTCGAAGAAACACAGGGAAAAAGAAAGATGAGTTAAGGTACTATCTCACTCATTAAAAAGTCTTCCTATATTTTCTTATTCTTGCCAATACAACATATAAAATGATAACAGCAAGGAATAAATCCCAGTACCTTCCATTCAAAAGCGATGCAGACGCAATGGGAATATGAAAGAGAAATCACATAATTGACATATATTACTTAATTAGTAGTGCCAAAGGTATATTCTGCGGAAGTTGCTTGCTTTTCCTTTTAAAGAAATTGCTACTGTGAGTTATTTATTCTATTTTAATGGAGCAGCTTTATCGGTGACTTTCACATCATACAAATGCAACACCAGGGAGATATTGGTTCATCATTACAGACTTGCAATAACTAAGATCTAAGTGCTCCACCTTTCCTATTTTGCTTAGCCTACGTCAAGAGAAGGAGGTTTTATTAGCTTGGGAAGTGTTAATTGGTAGAGATATTGAGAAAGGTTGAAATATATGCATAGTCTGTAGAACTGCGACCATGGTCCTCATCCTCAAAAGTTGATGCTTTCCAGGGGTGACTCTTGCAAATCAACACCTTATCCACTCAGAAAGACTTAGTGGCAGTGTTGTCAAAGGCTCATTTAAGGCGCGCTTAAGCCCTGAAGCCCAAAAAAACTCAGTGAGGGCGCTTCGCCTCTCTTAAGCTGCGCTTTTGTGCAGGCAAGACACTAAGGTGTGCGCCTCATTTCCCATGAGTTCTATCTTGAAACGAGCGGGGTACTAAACAACAAATATTATCGGCAAATAAGTGTATTAATTGTTAAGAAAAATATTAGGAATGAATTTGTTTCTTTTTTCTTGTATTACATATGTATATTTACTTTTTTCCTTTGTTGCGCCTTTTTTTACTAAAGCCCGCACTTTAGTCGCGCTTCGCGCTTAAAGCTCCAATTGACTTGGAGCGCTCTTTAGAGCTTTTTGCTTTTGACAACACTGCTTAGTGGTTGAGGCATGGGATTAACGACATGGAAATCTCATATTCAAATCTCAGCTACAACACTTTGGTGTGTACTCACCTGCTCCAACTTTGGTGGGTAGGATTACCTTGGCAACTTGTGCTAGTGGTTTGACAAATTGTAATCAAGGTGCCACACAAATTGATCCAAACACCACCGTAATTTTTAAAAAAACGAGGAAAGATACTAATATCATCCAGCCAAAACCAACTGACCCATCCCAAGTATATATACATTATAGAGAGAGAGATTCTACTTTTCCTCTCTCTCCAGCTAAATCTTTATTTCTAAGATTAACTAAAAATCGAGTCCAAAAATAGTCATTTTTGTGAGGTCTTAACCAAAGAAAGAGTAATATTAGGCAGCATGTAACTAAAAGTAACCTGATTGATTGAAATTTGAAACGTTCTTGTGAAAAAGAACAGAACTATTTTTCCTCTCTACTCATTTTGTGGAAAAGTTCTTGTTCTTGCAAGTAAGGCAAAACTAGTTGCTGTTCAATAGAAACAAAAATCACTACACATCATCTCAGACTAGTTTAGCTCGGCTATATGAATCTTCTATATCTGTCTGCTCCATTCGAACCCTTTACATTCCACTATTGAATAATTAGGGATTCTCAAAATCTCACATCTCTCCCTAGTCCCTACAGTGTCATACAATTTCTAATCAAACTTAGAGACTCTTGACAAATCTACTTACTATTGTGGACCACCAAAAGAAAAAGAAACTGATGACAAACATAGAAAAAGAAAATCAGGGCAAACCTTCTGCCACTAACACCTTTACCGAATGGAACCAGCTTCAACTCCGAGAAGCCTAAACCCAATTCAATATGACAGTTTTACCTACACAAAATAAAATTTTCAACTCAAAGAAGCTTGACCACCGTTCAGTTTAAAACTCCATGTTCCTACATAAAATTGTACTGCCGAATTCTCCAAAATGATACTGCTGCCACGACCCTCCAAGCAGGATAAGGAAGGACACGAGGAGTCGTTAGTAGCAAGCTTAAGTATGCCTCAGTGCTGCTCAACTAACCAACTTTTAATGGAAACACTATCGTAAGTTAAAACATTCTCAACTTTTAACATGTTCAGAGAGTTGGCATCTTATAATCTAAACAACATCGGGTAAATTACACTAACAACAATTGTGAAGCTCTTAAAATAAAGTCAAAACCGCAACATGTCCTTCCCCGCACGCTCATTGTCCATTTTAATTAGACATAAGTTTGACCTGGCACAAAGTTTAGGCATAGAGTTTATATCACATAGTACTTTAACCTGTAGATTGACCACAATTAGAGATAATATCACCTTTGAGTAACTATACAATAATTATAAACTTCCCCTGATGGAAATAGCTCAGCAGCGCCCCCCCCCCCCCCCTTTTTCCCCCCTTTTACCC